AAACCAATGATCTAATATTGGTTTCGTCAACCTTGTGGGAATATGTCGTTTACTCTTGAAATATTCAAAGTTATTGATTTGAATAATCACAACTATTATCAAAGATGATATTATTGATAGTTAACTTTAAGAGTCTCGGTTAAATTAATTTTTTGCTGTATTAGGTTCAGAATATTTATCATTTAATTCTTAAAAAAATGAATTATTAAAGTTTATGTACTCGCGTTGAATCCGCGAGTACAAAAACTTTTTAGGTAAACAAGCGAGTAGACTTTAGACACCTACACCTTAAACCACGACAAGAAGTTTATAACAACGTCAATTAGTATTTATGAACATAAAATCTTGTTTAACTAAATTAAACTGTTTTCACGTCCGAGGAAGAACAAAATGTAAAGGCTTTTTAAATTTACATTACAAAACCCCGAACAACATATCCAAAAAACTCCTGTAAGGACCAACGAGAGCCCAGGACGGGAGTTTTGTTGGAGAGTTCAGTCACTGCTCCAACGTACTCTTTCTCCGTGTCTCTCACTTTCTTTTATACAGGTTCTTTTTTCTGTTTCTCTTTTCTTAGTTTTGTAATTTGTTTTGTTGTGAATTTGGGAATGTGGGTATGATTTATATGTTGTTCTATGTCTGTTTTTTGGATCTGAGGTGCATTGTTTTCTGGTGAATTTTTATGGGTTAGTGTTGGATTTTGTTTTGTTTGTAAATCTAGGAGCTTTAGATGGTAATGAGTGTTTTGTTTGCTTATAACCTTTGATGCTGATTTGCTGGTTTCTGATGTTTAGGGTTTTATTACTTTCCTAAGCGAAAGATGAAACTTTTGTTTGTTCATAGATGGATGTGTGTGAGAAACTTTCGTTTTGTCTATGGGGTTTTTTGAATTATTACTGACTTGACACGTACTTTTGTAAGTTTAAATTACTATTTTGCAGTATTTTTGTATTAATTGTTGTTTCAATCCAGACCCTGAAGTATATGTTTTTTTTTTTTTTTTTTTTTTTTTTTAAATTTTAACATGCGCATTTAGCTTTATTAGTTGGTTCTTCACACACAACACGTGTTCTCAAAGGGTGTTTGCCTAGGATTTTGCCTGCAATTATTTGTCTGAGCAAATTGAGATTCTTCTGTTATTCTTTGGCTGGTCTGGGAACAAATTGGCATGGCTGTTGCCAAGAGCAACAGCAGCAGGGAACCATCTTGGCAACCTTGTAATTGTTATAAGCGGCAACCTTAACTGAAACCATTTTGCAAGCTAACGAGATCTCTGATTTAAAAGACCGATTCATTCTGGGGCGCAGTTGGGTTGGAGTTTGTGTTATTAGGGTTTGCTCTGATAAAGTGACTGAGAGGTGTTTGCCTGCAAATCAATTAACAAAGATAGATTAGTGACTCTGATGATGCACGGAGTGTAAGCTTGAGATTAATAATGACTAGGTTATCAGGTCACCCAAATGTGCTCAGGCAGTTTTAGGGATGAAAACTCGTGCATCTGGTATAGGTTTTGTGCTGGAGGGGAACTTTTCTACCAGTGTAGAGAAGTATGGGCATTCTCTGAAGCAGGAGCTAGGATTCTCTTTGCTTTGATGCAAGTTGTTCTATATTGTCATGAATTGGTTTGTTCATAGAGATTTGAAGCCGAGAACATTCTCTTGGCTACCAAAGCCTCATCCTCACCAATTAAACTGTGACTTTGGTCTTGCTACCTACATCAAGCCTGGTAAAGCTATATATACTTTGTTTCCTTTTCATGTCAATTTTGTCCCCAGTAAAATTCAAGGTGTTTTGTGATTTATGCATTGGTTTTGGCCAAACAGGGCAGAGTCTGCATGGAACTGTTGGAAGTCCATTTTATATAGCTCCTGAGGTATTGACCGGGGGCTACAATCAAGCTGCTGATGTTTGGAGTGCTGGCGTTATTTTATACATTCTTCTCAGTGGTATGCCCCATTCTGGGGTAACACTAAGTCACGGATATTTGATGCTGTTAGGGCAGCCGATCTACGTTTCCATCAAATCCTGGGATAAACTATCTGATCTGCAAAGAAACTAGTCAGGGATGCTTTCTTGAATCCTTCTCAGAGGCTCACTGCTCACAGGTTTTAGGTAGGTGGATGCTAACTTTTATGCTGGAAATCCATTTCTTAGAACATCCTGTTCTGGATTCTGGTAAAATTGGGAGATTCTTAATTTCTTTCTTCACTGTTTCACTATTAGAAAAACTAAAAAATGGTTAGATTCTTGAAGGAAAGAGAATTATATGTCTGAGATTATTGCATCACATAGGACATTTATATGAGAACTTTGTTACAAAGATAGGAGATCACATTCAAGCAGGCCCTTTCTTTTTTTTGTCCATCTTAGAATGTAGTTCTCTCTCTCACTCCTTAGTGTGGTGTTTGTGACACAGAAAATATTTTATTGGAGATAATTTTTGAGACTGTCAACTCTATAATTATTTTTATTAATAATTCTTGCTGTATTACAATTTTCTTGTTTGGATGTACTACTTTACCCCTGCTGTGGTAATTTGTATGACTTGAGGCTAGTTACTTGTAACATGACTAGTGCTGGTTAGGCCCATAATTGAGAAATTATCTCTTCTTACTTATTGCAGATGTTCCCTTTTGACATATTTTCTTTACTCTGTAGACATTCATGGATGAGATGACATACTGGATCTGAAGTATCAGATGGGAACAACTTTGAAGGTTGTCAGGAATGGGATTTAGAAGTGGCTCATTCTCTACCCATTTATATCAGGACAGGACATCAGCTTTGGTAGTGGAACTCATCACCTATTGTTTCCAATGCTGATCACCTGCGTTCACATGCGAACATCATTTTCTTCTTTCTAGCAGAGCCGTCAACACCTTGTTCTGCTTCTGCTAGGTTTTCTTTCTGAGTCCCACGATTCTAATACCTTGGAATTCACTTCTCCTGTGGCTGTACCCTCAATGCCAAGTTTTGCATTTTTTGGCACTGTTCTCTTTGAGCAAGGTATTTCAGCAGATCGTTCAACCAATATAACCAGACTAGATCAACTAATGGAGGTAATTGAGTTTTCTATCTTTCAACTTCCATCGTGTTCTTTAGAACTTTCATCTAAATTATATCTTTAACCTATCATGCAAGGGCTAGCTTGGAGGAGCTTCTTACAGTGCCTGATTCTTCTCCTTGCTGGGCATCAGTTGAGAGAAACAGAACATAAGACCTGAAGTTAAAGAGCAGGAGGGACCATTGGATCCAAGATGTTGGGCATCCACATAAGAGAACCGAACAATTGGTCTTGGTGAGGAGCAACTTGATTTCGCTGTGTCTGGGTCATTGACCGTTGGGCATCATGTAAGATATTTCAATTGCCCCATCGTTGAAATCCTCACTCGTGTGTTGAAAGTTCGAACCAGACAACATCATAGTTGATGGAGGGTTCGGACAGAGAGACCCATGAAAATATTTTCTGCTAATCTGTAGTATTATGTTGTGTTGTAAACATGGCGGTGAATAGCACCAGTTTCATGTTAGCTTCAAATGGGTTTGTCTTGTAATATATATATATGATGCTGGTGAGTGTTGATGTTTGGGTTGGTGATAAGTAACAGTTTTAACTAGTTGTGTCTGATAGGCTTATGCCACGGTAATAAACTGGATTTTGATTTTGTATTGAATTTTTTCCAAGTTTGATGATGGAATTCTCACTGTTATCGTTCTTGAATGTTGCGTTTTAAGCATATATTTCCTCAAGATTGTCTTTTAAATCCATTTGGGATTTAGCAGTATGGAAACGGCTATTGATGATATAAGATTCCTCTATAAACGTAATTTCATATTTGGGATTAATGAAACCAAAGTAAAATCTGTATGGGTGTTAAACTCACATGCGTCCAAGAGATAAACTTTGTTTAGTGAAAACAGTGAGTCAGTTCTTGTAATATTTCTTCCAGACTAATCTCTACATGCTTTAATCAATCACGTATAATTATAATTGTCTGCTGGAGTGCATAAATAAAAGCACCATAAACTGCTATGCCCTTGCGAAGACACCTCTGAAGTAGGTTAGTTTCATCCCTGCCCTCTACCATCATTTGTTCTGACATCAACTTCTTAAAAAGTTTCTGTAAGGATGCTGGGATGTTACTTAACTGAGTTACCTCATTATCACTTTCTTTTAATTTTTATTATATATTTTTTACTGCATATAAGAATTTTTTTTAAACGTTAAAGAAATGGGCACTGATTTGGTTGTAAATATTTTTTTTTTAATTACTTTGGGGTGATCGAGGTGTTAGTAAGAATCTTAGGTGTATTACTCAAGAGATCTAGTTCGATTTCATCCTTAGTTGTTAATAGGGATAGTCATTAAATTTTTACTCGACCGATAGTTTCAGAGTCCCACAAGATTAATCGAGGTGTGCGTAGCTAACCCGGACACTTTGGTCATAAAAAAAAAAAAAAAAAAATTATATATATATATTATATATTATATATATATAGTGTGTGTTGTGTGTGTGTTTCTTTTTCCCTGGGCCGACTATCAAAGTGGGTGCTTAATACATATTAGTTTTGAGAATTTGATTCAAAATTGATTATTTTTCTAGAATGGAAATCTGGATTAAAGAAGCCGTTCATTGTAGAAAGAAGAGTTAATGAAAAACAAGATGTAAGTTTAAGCAAAATATATATTAGTATATAATTTTTTATTAAAAAAGGGGTGTAAAGAGGAGTTTTAGGTGTGCAAATAGAGCCACCTGCCCTAGTATCAATCAACCTTGTTATACAAACGAACATTTTGTCCTCTTACTGGTGCTTGTATTACTATTATGTGTACTGAAACCAAAATATTTGGATATGCAGATGAGTGCAGATCTGCAGATTTAAGAGTGCAATAACTAAACGACAAAATAATTGAACTAAAATTTTACTATCAAAATTTGAGGGCAATCACAGGTCATTCTGGGAATTTGACTTTCAGCCTGACCATCCTATAGGACGTACTTCTTCATCAACAGCTTCCCAATACTTGAAAAATCAACAAAACCTATAATTTGGTGTGACATATGTAATCCTTAATTTCAATCTTCATACAAGCTCCAATCTCTAAAATCAATGTATAAATTAGCAACTTAAGACCCCTTGACTAGTCCCACAAGCTGCACAACTTAGCACCTTGCAATATTGATCTGGCACTGGCAGTAACAGCAGGAATCGCATATGACTAAAAGCTAAATGAAGACAAGTATTGCTGTTGCATGGATCTGAGAGGTAAATAACATAAAGAGCACAGGAAGATTTATTCCCAAAATGAACCAAACACATTACGAGTCATTGTAAGTCATATTATATTCTAAGTAATTTGCATATAAATCATAAATGGCATTTAATAAAGTTCCATTCCCTCCATTAAGTGGGCAGAGGATGAGGAGCAAGGCAGGGAATGAATGCAGTATAAAGCAGGAATTTCATAATCTACTAAAGCAGCCCTTGGATGGAAGTTGAACAAAGAAAAACCAGTCAGCAAGCATACGGGGAGAATAAATTACTTATGTCAACACATTTGCTGTTTTAGATTACAACAACAGCATACAAAGATAACAATTTCAATCACCAGAATTTTTGCTCCCACAATGTCACTTCCAAGAGAGGATTTCTGAATATAGCTATGAGAATTCTTACAACGATACAAGTAATTGCAAACAAGTAAGTGAAACAATAGAGCGTGAAACATCAAGTTAAGGACATATACCTTATGAATTATACTAACGAACACAACAAGCACAGAAATTTACAAAAACAAATTCTCCATGGTATTCTTGCAGACATAAAATGTTGTTGCCCCAGAGAAAAGTGACAAAATGGCTTTTCAAGTAATAATTAACTTGCAAGCTTGAAAGCATCGATGAAAAGACCATATGTGAAACCCATCTTAAAGTTATTGAGAAGAGCAAGGGGAAAAGTTACCTTTGGCTGGCTGTAATAAAACCTTGTTACATATTCCGTCAGGAGAACACACAATACTGCAGCGATCACATCATTGACTCCTAAAGCTCCAAATGACAGAGAGATTGTCTGTGCTACATAAAAGCCACCCAACAAGGAGATTCCTCCAAAAAGTGCCCTCCTAGAGGGACTCCGAAAGTAATTCCTCGAGAGCTCCGGCACAACTCTTATAATGTCAATCAGTCGTCGTGGCCCTCCATTCTCCTGCACAGCACGGATGCTAAGAAATCCAGTTGAAGATTGTGAAACCAAACCGAATTTGCGATGAGAAACTCTGGTTGAAGTTGCCCACCCAAATTTAAGTAGACTTGTGGTAGAGACAAAACTCATGGAATGTGCCATTTAAAATTTCCTCATCAAAACCGGCTATCAAATCAGCTGTCCTGGACAAATGAAACCAAACATAAACTCCCTGTTAACCTTAGATTAGATTGAAACCTTTTTCACAAAGAATGCAAAAAATACATCAACCAGAACGAAATATAAAAACATATAAATTGCATTAGTTAGCTGCAAAAGTGATACAAATGCCGCAATCTCGAATAAGTCTTATACTTCAAATTCTTTGGATGAAATTAATTCTGATTAATTACACGTTTATATTTTAATTTTTTTCTCATAATCTGAAATACTTTTCACAACAATATTAAGTGACACTAAATCAATGCAACTAGTGAATGTTTCACGCCATTAACAACCCGTCAGAATTGGAAATTAAAGTAAAACCCATCAACTGAATGCTCTAAACTATTCAATCGATTAAAAAGATTCAAGCAAGAAACTACACACAAAATTCTCTTCAAAATTGAGGAGAAGAAAAAACTTATAAATGATAAACGAAACGAAGTTCAAGCATGATACCTACGACTAGAAACCAGCCATTCTTGTATTAGAAGTATGGTTTGCATTGGCGATCACGCAGAGCGATGGAGGGCAAATGAATTGCGGAGCGAATCGGGCCGGGCAAAATTTTGTGTGACTTCAAATGTTAGTCTTATCCTCGAAACGGTCCGTTTTGGCTATTTTGTGGGAATGTCAATATCATTTCTTTTTCTTTTCCACGAAAAATTTAAAGTTTGAGTGACGTTGGTGAAATATAAATCCCACCCCGTATTTAAGGGGTTGAATATTGAGTAAACGACATATTCCCACCCAAAGTTTGACGAAATCCTAAGTTAGTACCATTGGTTCCATTTATTCCTTATTTTCACCTTTAAAGTGACAGAAAAACATTTGATGTTACGATAAAGAGGTAAATTGGTCATTTTACATGGGTCACGCACGTTAGCAAACCACCACCTCTAACAGTCCTCCGACGCACATTAGCATCTGTTATTCCCGACGTTTTTTGCTCTTTTCTGGTGATTCTTCCACCCAAAATCACCATTGTCACCACCATTTGAACCCTCATCCTCCCCTCTACAAAACCATACCATTCACAACCCCTCATCACTCACCGATCTCCAGCCATGGCAACGAAAAACAGTTGATGAACACGAACTCTCGACCGGCGAATGACAACGAAACGGTTGCTAGGGACATAGGGGTTTTACAGATTTGAGGACGGTGGTTGCATTGGTGGTGTCCAATTAGATTTTCACAGTCGGAATTGACCGGAATCCTGTGAAGAACACCAAAGCCCTGAGCCTAACGGTGCCGGCGATTAGAGGGGCAAATGAGTCTGGAACCAGAGGGGTTTTGGACGACGGACTACGAGGAAGGTGATGGAGGTGACCAGGGGGTTCGACGTCGTCTGAAACAGCCCAGATCGGGTTGTTTCTGACGAGGGCGTATGGTGATCGAGGGTGTTTTCGATATAATTTGAAAATAAAATGGTAAGTTTTGAAATTCTATTAATCTAGGGGCTAAAAAAATTTATTAATTTAGAGTTAAGGGCATTATAGTAATTGCACCCTCTAAACCATAAAAATTTATAGTACTGTTATTTTAAGTGTGAAAATCTGAAATAAATGAAACCAATGATACTAATATTGGTTTCGTCAAACCTTGGGTGGGAATATGTCGTTTACTCTTGAATATATTCAAAAGTTATTGAATTTGAATAATCACAACTATTATCAAAGATGAATATATATGATAGTTAACTTTAAGAGTCTCGGTTAAATTAAATTTTTGCTGTATTAGGTTCAGAATATTTATCATTTAATTCTTAAAAAAATAGAATTATTAAAGTTTATGTACTCGCGGTTGAATCCGCGAGTACAAAAACTTTTTAGGTAAACAAGCGAGTAGACTTTAGACACCTACACCTTAAACCACTACAACAAGTTTATAACAACGTCAACGTATGTATTTATGTAACATAAAATTCTTGTTTAACTAAAATAAACTTAGTTTTCACGTCCGAGGAAGGAAAATGTAAAGGCTTTTTAAATTTTACATTACAAAACACAGAAACAGCATATTCCAAAAAAACTCCTCCAAAGGAGACCAACGAGAGCCCACGGGACGGGAGTTTTGTTGGAGAGTTCAGTCACTGCTCCAACGTACTCTTTCTCCGTGTCTCTCACTTTCTTTTTATCCAGGTTCTTTTTCTGTTTCTCCTTTTTTTCTCTTTTTTAGTTTTTATAATGATGTGAGGTTTGTATTTGTTTGTGAATTTGGGAATGTGGGTATGATTATTATGTTGTTCTATGTCTGTTTTTTTGGATCTGAGGTGCATTGTTTTCTGGTGAATTTTTATGGGTTAGTGTTGGATTTTGGTTTTGTTTGTAAAATCTAGGAGCTTTTAGATGGTAATGAGTGTTGTTTTGCTTATAACTCTTTGATGCTGATTTGGGCTGGTTTCTGATGTTTAGGGTTTTATTTACTTTCCTAAGCGAAAGATGAAACTTTTGTTTGTTCATAGATGGGATGGTGTTGTGAGAAACTTTCGTTTTGTCTCATGGGGTTTTTTGAATTATCTACTGAGCTTGAACTGTATCTTTTGTAAGTTTAAATTACTATTTTGCTGTAAAACAAATGATATGTTATATATATTGGTGAATTGCTCTTGTTTGTTATTGTTGTTTCAATCCAATGACCCTGAAGTATATGTTTTTTTTTTTTTTAATTTTACTGCAGATCCGGTTGATCCATCAAGATTCAGGACAATTATTAGCTTTGGGAGTAAAGGGTTTGTTGTTTTGGCATTCATGTTTTATTAGGGTTCTTCACGGCAACACGTGTTCTCAAAAGGGTGTTTGCCTAGGATTTTGCCTGCAAGTATTATTTGTCTGAGCAAATTGAGATTCTTCTGTTATTCTTTGGCTGGTCTGGGAACTAGAATTTGGCATGGCTGTTGCCAAGAGCAACAGCAGCAGTGAACCATCTTGGCAACCTTGTAATTGTTATAAAGCGGCAACCTTAACTGAAACCATTTTGCAAGCTAACGAGATCTCTGATTTAAAAGACCGATTCATTCTGGGGCAGCAGTTGGGTTGGGGGCAGTTTGGTGTTATTAGGGTTTGCTCTGATAAAGTGACTGGAGAGGTGTTTGCCTGCAAATCAATTAACAAAGATAGATTAGTGACCTCTGATGATGCACGGAGTGTAAAGCTTGAGATTGAAATAATGACTAGGTTATCAGGTCACCCAAATGTCGTAGACCTCAAGGCAGTTTATGAGGATGAAAACTCTGTGCATCTGGTGATGGAGCTTTGTGCTGGAGGGGAACTTTTCTACCAGTTAGAGAAGTATGGGCGATTCTCTGAAGCAGAGGCTAGGATTCTCTTTAGGCATTTGATGCAAGTTGTTCTATATTGTCATGAAATTGGGGTTGTTCATAGAGATTTGAAGCCAGAGAACATTCTCTTGGCTACCAAAGCCTCATCCTCACCAATTAAACTGGCTGACTTTGGTCTTGCTACCTACATCAAGCCTGGTAAAGCTATGTAATCTTTGTTTCCTTTTCATGTCAATTATTGTCCCCAGTAAAATTCAAGGTGTTTTGTGATTTATGCATTTGGGTTTTGGCCAAACAGGGCAGAGTCTGCATGGAACTGTTGGAAGTCCATTTTATATAGCTCCTGAGGTATTGACCGGGGGCTACAATCAAGCTGCTGATGTTTGGAGTGCTGGCGTTATTTTATACATTCTTCTCAGTGGTATGCCCCCATTCTGGGGTAACACTAAGTCACGGATATTTGATGCTGTTAGGGCAGCCGATCTACGGTTTCCATCAAATCCTTGGGATAACATATCTGAATCTGCGAAGAGACTAGTCAGGGGAATGCTTTCTCTGAATCCTTCTCAGAGGCTCACTGCTCAACAGGTTTTAGGTAGGGTGGATGCTAACTTTTTTACTGGAAATCCATGTCTTAGATATGCAACATTTAGGTTCAAACATCCTGTTCTGGATTCTGGTAACATATGGGAGATGTCTTAATTTCTTTCTTCACTGTTTCACTATTAGAAACTAAAGTTAGAAAAACTAAAAAATGGTAGATTCTTTGAAGGAAAAGAGAATTATATGTCTGAGATTATTGCGTCAACATAAGGACATTTATATGAGCACATTCTCGAACTTTTGTTTACAAAGATAGGGAGATCACATTCAAGCAGGCCCTTTCTTTTTTTTGTCCATCTTAGAATGTAGTTCTCTCTCTCACTCCTTATGTGTGTGTTTGTGACACAAGAAATATGTTATTGGAGATAATTTTTGAGACTGTCAACTCTATAATTATTTTTTATTAATAATTCTTGCTGTATTACAATTTTCTTGATTTGGATGTAGCTACGTTTACCCCTGCTTGTGGTAGGATTTGTATGACTTGAGGCTAGTTACTTGTATACATGACTAGTGCTGGTTAGGCCCATAATTGAGAAAATTTATCTCTTCTTACTTATTGCAGATGTTCCCTTTTTGACATAATTCTCTTACTCTTGTAGATCATTCATGGATGAAGGATGACATACTGGATCTTGAAGTATCAGATGGGAACAACTTTGAAGGTTTTCAGGAATGGGATTTAGGAAGTGGCTCATTCTCTACCCCATTTATTATCAGGAATCAGGACATCAGCTTTGGTAGTGGAACTCAATCACCTATTGTTTCCAATGCTGGATCACCTGCGTTCACATGCAGAACATCATTTTCTTCTTTCTTAGCAGAGCCGTCAACACCTTGTTCTGCTTCTGCTAGGTTTTCTTTCTGTAGTCCCAGCGATTCTAATACCTTGGAATTCACTTCTCCTGTGGCTGTACCCTCAATGCCAAGTTTTGCATTTTTTGGCACTGCTTCTATTGAGCAAGGTATTTCAGCAGATCGTTCAACCAATATAACCAGACTAGATGCAACTAATGGAGGTAATTGAGTTTTCTATCTTTCAACCTTCCATCGTGTTCTTGTAGAACTTTCATCTAAATTATATCTTTAACCTATCATGCAGAGGCTAGCTTGGAGGAGCTTCTTACAGTGCCTGATTCTTCTCCTTGCTTTGGGCATCAGTTGAGAGAAACAGAACATAAGACAGCTGAAGTTAAAAGAGCAGGAGGGACCATTGGATCCAAGATGTTGGGCATCCACAGTAAGAGGAACCGAACAATTGGTCTTGGTGAGAGGGAGCAACTTGATTTCGTGGTGTCTGAGTCAGTGATCCGTTGGGCGTCATGTACAGATATTTCAATTGCCCCATCGTTGAAATCCTCACTCGTGTGTTGAAAGTTCGAACCAGACAACATCATAAGTTGAATTGGAGGGTTCGGACAGAGAGACCCATGAAAATATTTTACAGCTAATCTGTAGTATTATGTTTGTGTTGTAAACATGGCGGTGAATAGCACACAGTTTCATGTTAGCTTCAAATGGGTTGTCTTGTAATATATATATATGATGCCTGAGAGTGATGTGATGTTTGGGTTGGTGATAAGTAACAGTGTTTAACTAGTTGTGTCTGATAGGCTTATGCCACGTGTATAAAACTGGATTTTGATTCTGATATAATGAAGTTTTCCAAGTTTGATGATGGAATTCTCACTGTTGATCGTTCTTGAATGTTGGCGTTTTAAGCATATATTTTCCTCAAGAGTTTGTCTTTTAAATCCATTTGGGATTTAGCAAGTATGGAAACGGCTATTGATGATTTAAGATTCCTCTATAAACGTAATTTCATTATTTGGGATTAATGAAACCAAAAGTAAAATCTGTATGGGTGGATATACTCACATGCGTCCAAGAGATAAACTTTGTTTAGTGAATAACAGTGAGTCCAGTTCTTGTAATATTTCTTCCAGACTAATCTCTAACATGCTTTAATCAATACACGTAATAATTATAATTGTCTGCTGGAGTGCATAAAATAAAAGCACCATAAGACTGCTATGCCCGTGCGAAGACACTCTCTGAAGTAGGTTAGTTTCATCCCTGCCCTCTACCATCATTTTATGTTCTGACATCAACTTCTTAAAAAGTTTCTGTAGAGGATGCTGGGATGTTACTTAACTTGAGTTACCTCTATGATCACTTTCTTTTAATTTATTATTATATATTTTTTACATGCATATAAGAATTATTTTTTAAACTGTTAAAAGAATGGGGCACTGATTTGGTTGTGAAATATTTTTCTTTTTAATTATCTTGGGGTGATCGAGTGGTTCGATAAGAACTCTTAGGTGTATTACTCAAGAGATCATAAGTTCGATTCTCCTTGTTGTTAATAGGGATAGTCATTAAAGTTTTACTCGACCGATAGTTTCAGAGTCCCACAAGATTAATGAGGTGTGCGTAAGCTAACCCGGACACTTGGTCATAAAAAAAAAAAAAAAAAAATATATATATATATATTATATATATATATATATATATGTTTCTTTTTCATCTGTCATGGACTTGGTACATGAAATTTTTTTTCAAAAATGCTATATCCACCGAAAGATGGTAGGCCACCGAACATTTGCATTGAAATACATGACAACTGACTCGGACGTTACCATGTAGGACGATAGAACACTCACATAAATGGATGACTATCCATACTTTCTAGACGGCCGTTCATAGGAGAATGGACGAGGGTCCATAAAAAGTATTTAAAAATAAAATAAAAAACAATGGACTCTCATCCAAATTCTAGGGACGGGCGTCCAATTAATATGGATGGCCGTCCAAATTATATGGACGGCTGTCCATCTTACAGGGATGACCGTCCACATGAGATGGACTGGCGTCCATCATCTGTGAAATTTAAAAAAAAAAAAAATTTTTAAAATATAATGGACATAATATGGACGCCAGTCCATCTAGTGTGGACAGTCGTTCCTTCTATATGGACGCTAGTCCATCTAGTGTGGACGGCCTTCCCTTGTAAATGGATGCTAGTCCATCTAGTGTGGACGGTCGTCCCTTGTAAATGGACGATCGTCTGCATTACATGGACTGGCATCCATACTTTGTTAAAAAAAAAAAAAAAATTTGTTATAAAAATGAATAGCTTGTCTAATACGTTTTACAAATAAGCGCCAAAATTTTATGTGAAATAATAAGGGGAAAAAAAACTTTCATTTTTATTTGTTTTTCTTCTCTTCTCCTTCGTCTGCGTTATTTGTTTTTCTTCTCTTCTCGTTCGTCTGCGTGTTGTGTTCCTCTTGCTTCGATGCCAGTTTCTTCCTCAATAGCCAAGCAGCAGCAGTAAGACCTCTTTTTATAGAGATAACCAAGAAACGAAAATAAGGATATCAAACATTTTAAAGCTCTAAATTTTTTGTTAAGGTAAATAATTTTTGACCTATTTTATATATTCATTTAGTTTCATATTCTATTTTGGATTGAATATATGTTACAATACAAAATAATTGATAGATAATATTTGTTGGTGACTGTTGTGAACGCGATTTGTGAACGCGAAAACTGGTATTAGTTGTGCATGAAATTACGGAATATGGAAGAGTCCAGTTTGCCTCATTTCAATGATGTTGAGGTAAATTGTGTTTGAAACTTTTTTAAATGTGTTGTATTGTATTGTTTATTATGATGTGTTGTATTAGTACATTCTAAGTTTGTTTATTATAAAACCATTGAATCGGGAAAATGAATGTGATGAATTAGAAGATACGGGATGTGCAGAGGAAGAAGTGGAGCCTTATATTGGAATAGTGTTTGATTCAGTTGATAGTTTGGTGAAGTATTACAGAAGGTATGAGAATAAAATGGGTTTTGAAGCAATGATACGTACGTCAAAGAAAGGAGATGATAGGGAGATGAGATACGTGATAGTGGCGTGTTCTTATTCTGGGAAGGAGAGAAGTAAATGCAGAAATACCTTGAAAAAAAAATAGATTGTAAGAGTCGGATTAGTGCAGCTTTGAATGGTGAATACAAAAGGGAAATTTAATCAGTTGTGCTTGAACATAACCATGATCTTACAAGTCCAACGAAAAGAAAATATTTCAAGATAAACCGAACGATACAACCTTTTGTGAAAAGGAGGCTTGAAGTTAATGATCAAGTTGGGATTAGACCGTGTAAAAAATTTTAGTCATGTTCAGTTGAGGCAGGAGGTGTAGAGAATTTGACGTTTCTACAAAAAGATTGAAGGAACTACATTGAAAAAGTTAGAAGTCTACGACTTGGAGTTGGAGATGCTTCAGCAGTACTAGAGTATTTTATGAAAATGCAAAAGGAGAATTCACATGATTGATGTAGATGAAGAGAGTCGATTAAAGAGTGTGCTATGGGTTGATGCTAGATGTAGGGCTGCATATAAAGATTTCGGTGACATTGTGACCTTTGACACAACGTATCTGACGAACAAGTATGATATGCCATTTGCTGCTTTTGTAGGGGTTGATCATCATTGACATTCGACATTGTTATGTTGTGAGTTATTTTCACATGAGGACACAGAGACATTTGTATGGCTATTTTGTTCTTGGCTTGAATGCATGAATTTTGCTCCTAATGGAATTATCACTTATCAAGATAAGGCCATGCAAAATGCAATTGAGATTGTTTTCCTTTGTATAAGACATATGTGGTGTTTGTGGTATATAATGAAGAAGCTGCCTGAGAAGTTAAGAAGGTATAAGGAATATGAAACTATAAAGTTTACGTTACAAAATATTGTGTATGATTCGTTGACACGTGAAGAGTTCGAAGAACGGTGGAACAAATTCATTGATGTGTATAACCTTCACGAGAATGAATGGTTATTTGGATTGTATAAAGAAAGAGTACGTTGGGTGCCTGCATTTCTTAAAGATACTTTCTAGGCAAGTATGTCTACTACCTAATGTAGTGAAAGTATGCATGCATTTTTCGATGGATATGTAAATTCCAAAACAACATTGAAACAATTTGTGGAACAATATGATAATGCATTGCGAGATAAAGTGGAAAAGGAAAGGAAGGCTGATTTTAGATTTTTCAAGTCTTGGATACCATGCATAACTAATTACCCTATTGAGAAACAATTTCAAAATGCATACACAACTGCAAAATTTAAAGAGTTTCAAGAAGAGATTGCGGGGAAGATTTATTGTGAATTATCTTTTATGAAAAAGTCTGATTCGTATGAGGAGTATCAGGTTTTAGAAGATGTTTGGTTTGGAGTAATAATCGGCGTGTTCCCTTTCTGATATACTTTGAAGAAAGTTCATGTGATATTCGTTGTAATTGTCATTTGTTTGAGTTCAGAGGGATTTTATACAGACATGCTATTATTGTGTTGATTCATAAAGGGGTTTCACACATTAGATAAGTACATTCTACGGCGTTTGAGGAAAAACATAAAAAGATGCCATACGAAAATCTAGGTAAGTTATAATAGATGGAGCACAAACGTTGAAGGACAACGTTTTGAGAAGTTGTCTAATCTAATGTTGACAGTAGCCGATATGACATTAAACAATGAAGAAGACTGTAACATGTTGATGGAATTGATTACTAGCATGAGAAATAAGCTGGAGCAGAAGGAAAGTGAAGGAGGGCTTGGTAGTAAAGAGGGGGACAATCCTCCCAAAGAGGGGAATAGTCTAATTATTAGTCCACGGGTAGTTCATAGCAAAGGTCATCCTCCATGCAAAAGAAAGCAATCGAAGGTTGACGAAATTGTACATAGGGCAAAAAATAAAAAATTGCGAAAACAAAGAATTAGTATGACTTATACACCTATTCTTACATGATATTTGTTTTTGAAACATTATTTACTTATTTGAAGTTTATAATAATATTTACTTGATTATTAATGTGTTGTGCTACTTTATAGGGAAAGAATCATCGGCAGAGCAAGACAACATTGCTAAAAGTGTACCGGGAATTCAAGTGTTGTCAAATGATGTTGTTGCTACTCAGGTATGTGTTATGTATGTTGTATAATTGTAAAAAACCTTAAGTTTTCTATAACATGTGTTAAATTGTGGTTATTAAACATTGACAGCTGTCCACTGGTCCGGTTCAGATCTCGCAGGAAATAATAATTTATGTATTGGGCAGGAGGATGTAAATGATGAACATGTTTTGTTGGGAGAGATTTGATATTGTTAACCAGTTAAAGCATATACATTTGTATTCGGTAGATATTTTTCACGTTGTGGTTCATTTATGACGAATGCAGTTGAGCTGTATGCTGATTCAGTTGTTTTGTTTTTATTATTTTTGTTGCTGGTTAGGTAAGAGTAGGCTGTTGGTTGTAGGGTTTTGAATTCATAATAATAACGTAAATGTATCTTATTCTTATTCTAAATGTTTTCAATATATATTATCATCACATTTCAGTATCAATAACACTACTCTTACAAAGGCAAATACAAAGAGACTTTACAAAATGACGTGATAGGTGACGTGGCAATGCCACATCATCTGACACGTCATCACTTGCCACGTCATCGTTAAATATTTTATTATTTGAATATTTCAATCTTCTTCTCCATGCTTTTTCTTTCGTGCTCTTCTACATCACTGTTGTTAGCACTGCTCTTCTCCATCTCCATCACTCTCTTCA